TAAATACCCAAGAGCAAAAGATTCCATTTTGACACAATGTTATATGGACGATATTTTGACAGGTTGTGATGATTACAAGGAATTGAAAGATCTTTATAATGAACTGAACTTCCTCTTGAACCCGTGTGGTTTTAGTTTACACAAATGGTGTTCAAATTCTAGAGACTTCTTAAACAAAATTTCACACGAAATAATTCACGAATATGATATGAATATTGATAAATCTCCTAACAAGATTTTAGGTCTGAAATGGCACCCTATGGAAGATGTTTTTTGTATATCAACACCCGAAATTTTAGACGATAAGTTCCCAACTAAGCGAAAAATTCTTTCTTCAATTTCTCGGTGTTTTGATCCCTTGGGTTTAGTAAATTCAGTTATTGTTGAGGGAAATATATTGATGCAAATAATCTGGTGCAAAAAACTTGATTGGGACACTATCATAACGGATGAGACTATTTTAGGAAAATGGACTTCATTTTTGAAAAGTGTAACTCTGTTAAAAAGTTTGAAAGTTCCTCGAAATATGTTCTCCCATAAAAAGATTGAATCTGTGGATATTCATGGATTCGCTGATGCTAGTTTAGCAGCATACGGTGCTTGTCTCTATCTCCGAACTGTCTACTCTGATCAGACTATTTCTTGTGACTTAATTTCATCAAAGTCTAGAGTCGCTCCGATTAAAAGCATTTCTCTACCAAGGCTCGAACTCTGTGCCATGGTTCTTTTAGCCGAACTCCTCCAAAAAATTGATTTTGTTTTCAAAAAGAAAATAAGCCTCTCTAAAGTACATTTATGGTCCGATTCTCAAATTGCGCTTTCTTGGTGCAAAAGTCATGCCAGCAGATGGACTGTTTTTGTTTCTCATAGAGTCTCGCGAGTTCAAGAATTAACGTCAAACTGTCATTGGCGATATATAAAATCTTCAGAAAATCCCGCAGACATGTTGTCTCGAGGGTTATTCTCCCAAAAATTTTTGGACTCTGGATTTTGGTTTCATGGCCCTAAATTTTTAAACAAATTTGATTTAAATTTATCTGATTACGACACACCTCAAAAAGAAATAAATTTACCCGAACAACGAAAAGTGACATTAATAATGCAAAACCGCCTTGTAGGAAATAATCACTGCACTTTCGAAGAATTTGACACAATTCTATGCCAAATTGAGGCAATATTAAATTCTCGGCCTTTATGCGCTTTATCTAGCGACCCTTCGGATTTCGAATCGCTAACCCCTGAACACTTCCTTATAGGTTCGGCACTGACTGCATATCCTGACAGAAACATCACTCATACTCCCGAAAATAGACTTAACTCCTGGAAAAGGTGCTCTCAGATTCAACAAAGGTTTTGGAAGCGCTGGAGCATTGAATATTTAAATAGACTTCAAAATCGCCCCAAATGGCTCCAGCCCTCAAGAAATATATGTGAAAACGACGTCGTTCTTCTTAAGGAAGATAATATGCCTCAGCTCAAGTGGCCATTGGCCATAGTCACTGAAACTGTCAAAGGCACAGATGGAAAAGTTAGAATTGTTAAGCTTAAAACATCTGATGGAAGTTTCACACGTTCAATAGCAAAGGTTTGTTCCTTACCAGAAAGTGTTAACTTATTGCCCCCACATAATAACCCTGAGTATTAGATATATTATAATCTTCCTCATTGTCTCAACTTCTTAATTCTTAAGTTTCGTAATGTATTTTTTTAATAACTCTCATAATTCTCCTCTTGTAATCTCTTTTAATTTCTTGAAGTTGGAAACTTCAACCCGGGGCAGAATGTTGTGGAAACAGCCAAACAATCATATTTATTTTTTATGATCACAGTGGCAACGTTGCAAAAAAGCCCCCCGCCGTGAAAAACTTGCGAAATGGCACCGTACCAGGCTGTACCGTATCGATCTAGTCTGGTTGTTTGTCGCTAGGGGAAAAAATGCATTCCCTCTCTTTTTCACTTCGCAGTGTGATTTGTGATTTTAGTAGTGTGGTTTCACTAGCAGTAAATAGTGCGTAAAAACGTCTAGCTCTATACAAGTTTGAACCTGCTCACTTTTCTCTAATTATTTAATTATTCTCTCTAGTTGCACCCTTGTGCAGTCTCTCTCTCGCTCTCTAAATAAAAAGACTTATTTTTTATCTCTCTGGCTGCTGGCTTGAAAACTCAAGTGATATAATATCGCGTAAAACATTGAGTTAATCACACTCCCCTTTTTTAAGGGCTCTCTAAAAATATAAAAACTCTCAACTCCCGAAGATTTCTATTAAGAATAAACTTTATCTTGTGCTCTCAATTAAAATATTAGCGTTCCGCTAATACTGACAATTATTGTTAAATTGACTATTGAGCACTTAGCAACTAGTGAATTTATACCGATTAGTGAATGTTCTCGAATAACTCAAATGCGACTTGTTAACTAACCTGTGAATAATTAAAAGTACTTGAATGTGGTTACAGTATTTATTACTTTATTAAACGATTATTTTGGCAACAATAGAGAGATATAAACTGGAAGTGTGAGTGTATTATTTAGCAGTGACGTCCCCATCCCCTTTATGATCCAGTGATCTAGCCCTAAATTAAATGTTGACACCTCAGTTAGAGGCCCTAACATTTGGTGACCATGGTACTTCAAGTACCCACTAAAATAAGGAATTCAAATTATTCAATGATATCCTTTTAATTGTATTGAAAGCTGAAAATACTTGTAATAACTCTAAAATAGTACTACAGAGATTCCATATTCCAAGATTCCAGTTGCAAAATGTAGTAAGGTACTTTTAATTCAATGATTTAAAATTTATCTAGAAAAGGTTGATTAAGAAATAACGAGCAGTGGAATTGTTTTAAGATACCCTGGAAGATACCTATTTATTCAGGAAAATAAACTTTTACAAAAAATATTTTTAGTATTTTGAGTACAAATGCCCAGTACCTATTTGAATTACTTTTTTTGTAAATCCAAGTACCAAATACAAATACTTTATTTAAGTACTTATTTGCAGACTCAAGTATAAATATCCAAACACAAAAGTATTTGAAGTATAGTACCTACTTCAAACACTAAAGTAGTAATTGAAATATATTTTCCAAGTAATTTACTTGAAGTACTAACAGCTCTGGCTTCAAATAACCTTTTTTGAAAATTTCAATCGAGATCTACGATTCAAAACTTTCAGTTTACATAGTACTAACATAAACTTGACATAGAACTGATGCTGGTAAAAAAATTATCTAAAATTTATACAAAAATTTTACTTAAATGTCATAGAAGTGTTTTGAAAAATTGAAAGAATCTTGAACAATTTTAATAAACACTAATCTTCCCATAAACCTCCAACATTTTTTAATAAAGAAGCTAAAAATTTCACATTTTCTCGTACATCAAAAAATCTAGAGGTCATTTCCTCTAAATCCGGAGTGAAATTTCCTGCTCGAAAATTAGGGTGTTTAGATACCAGGAAGCTGAATAACTTTTAATTAGAGATGGCTAGATAATTGGACCGGTAATTAGTGTTTAATAAGGCGCGATTTATTTTAAGCGGCCCCCTCTGTATAATACAAGTTGCATATTAATCAGACTTGATGATGATGATGATAATGGTTATTTTGCCGCCTTATTAAATTTTTTTCCTATATAAATGAAATGGAAAGTTTATTAATATATGTATCGAAGGTAAGATTTTTGTTTGCATTTTACGTTAAATCGTAAAATTTTCACTTCCATGAAGTTTTACTTTTACGATCCTCCTGGAAAAGAATTTGTTTTACTTTTACCCTCAGCTAAAACGATTGTCCAAGCAAACTTTAGAACATAAAATTTATAAATCAAGCAAGAAGAAAATTGTCGCATCGAATGTCATTTGCATCCGACGCTCTATAAAAGTAAATCGAATTTAGCTTTTAGTAGGAATCAGCTCCTTTTAAATTTGCAATGGATGAATTAATGTCGAATATCGAATAACCAGTGATTTATTTCGTGTCCTAAAAATAAATTGAAACTATACAGGTTACAAAATACAAATGACTTTGACCTTAAAATCTGCTATTATTTACGTACACAAACATTGGGATTATTCACTTGACAATGTTATTTGAATGGGTAGAAATAAAAGGACGCATCCAGAAAACTAGGAAAATGCTAGAAATCAATTATTGGATAGTCATTTTGATTGAATTGCTATAGGTAAATTATTCCTGAAGTGTGTTTTTATGCATCTAGAAGGTTAATTCATAACCAGCAAGTTCATAAAAGAAAATGTTCAAAATCAGAAAGTTTGTAAAAGTTATAGGAGAACAAAATCGCGGTGTGAATTTTTAAATTTTTCTGACGTCCTTTTTTTCAAATTTCTAAAGAAAATTTACCTTAAAAATCCTCTTCAACAACAACGAATTAAGAGAAAAATAAAAATTTATTTGATTACAAGCACGTTCCCAGGACAATGAAAATCAATCGTCCCTAGCAAAAAAAGACACTGAACGGAATAGAAAAGCGAATTTCCTTTAGTTTAGAAAAAAAAGGGAAAATTGAAATTGGAATGGATGTGTATATGCAATACAATTCCAAGTCCATTTCGAATTTGAAAGTCGCCCAATAAAAGGAAATAAGCTGGAATTGTCGCCGCACACCAACACATTTTCAATTTACCTACTTTTGTTTCGATTTTAGGTTTTGTTTTATAAAGTAAATATTGTAATAAAACAAAATTAAATTGTTTTGAAATAATTAAAATGATTTTTATTAGAAATACTGTCACAGAACCGCATATATATTCTGCTAGGCTAGATACATATTATGCAAATCTAATTAATATGAATAAACATTTTGTGTCAAGTTTAATGATGTTTAGATACGATTAACATAATATAATTGGAAATGATTATCAATTATTGTAAAATTGCTGAGCGGAATTGTTGCAGTTTTTGTGCACGAGCAATTGAACATATAAAATTTTATTATTCAATAGAGCAGAATATTGAATTGAATCGTTGATACTTACAGTTAAATAAAATTGCATTACCATTTTTCCTAAATATTCTTAACGTTTTCAGTTTATTTCCAAATCTGGTTAAAATTGCATCTTCCTCATCACTGGAAGACGATAGTATTGAAGATAAACAAATCGAACACTGTTCCGAAGAATCATCACTACTAGAATTACAATGATGAATGGTTACAAAATTATCACTCATGAAAAAGATTGTTTACAAATCCTCTAAAAACTATAAATAAAAACACTTTGTCACCGGTATACGCGTATCTAAGTTTAGAGCGCTACTAAAAATTAGTCTTGGATCGGTAACGAGCATTCTGGATTTCTATAAACAACATCCAGGAGGAAGTTTGTTTATTTGGCAAACCTCTGATTATAAGATGGAAAAATGTGTAAATATGAATACATATTCCACTGCTAAATACAAAATAAGGATGATTGTTGCTGGGACAAATTCCTAGGCTTCAACAGGTTGAAAATCTTGGATCCCTTCCAACTTTCATTGTTTGTCAATTATTTCTCGATTCCAAACCAAATAAATAAATCTAAATATTTCCATAAACAACCAGAATGTGAAATTTATGTAATGAAACCTTCGGTCAATTAAAAATAAACTAAAAAGTGACGCTGATTTACTTATTAAACGATACAGCTAAGCTTCACGGTTGCTTAGGTTCACCGAAAAAGTTTCGCTATCGTTTAAATTAGACTTTAATTAAAAGAAATTTATTGCGTAAAAGAAATGATGGTATTTAGCTTTGTTTTTGAGAGCAATAGTTGGGTTTTGGCTCAGGCTCCTGCAAATTAAATTCTTTACAAATCTCTATTAAATAGTTTCATTAAAATTTCAGAAAATTTCGTAGCTACAAAGCTTGAAAATCTTTTGACTCTTATATTAATCGAGAAGAATGTAACAATTTCAATATTTTCTCTCTCCATTTGCAAAATTTCAATCTAATTCCTGCAAAATTTTCCTCAAAAGAAAATAAAACGTCTCTCAATGTCGTTTTTTGGATCTTTGATTTTTTCCAAAATGATATTGACACACATTTTCGCTGACAACTCTTCTAATTTCAATCCGATCCTGATGTAATTAGGCTTAAATTAAGGACAATTGAATCCTTTACAAATCTCTATTTGATAGTTTCAAAGCAGCTTCAATAGTTTTCAAGCTTTGAAACTTCAAAGTGTTTTACTTGGATTTTTATCAAGGTGGGTGAGCAGGAAGAAATTCTTGATTTTTTTCCTAAATTTCAATCTTTTTCCTCTCCATTTGTAAAATTTCAATCCAATCCCTGCAAAATTTTCCTTTTACAGAAAAGTGAAACCTTCTCATTGTCATTCCTTGGAATTTTGATTTTTTTCCAAAATAACATTGACCAGTGCCGGACCTAATTTAATAGGTTTGTTCCAACCCGTCAAAAAAACGTCCCAGAACGGTTTCGGAACCACTCTGTATACGAATTTCGGTTTCTATGCAACATTTTAGGTTTTGCGCAGAATCCTGACGATAATGGCTGTGTTTAACGGGACTTAGCGGGTGTTAGCGCTTGCAAGCGCTTTCCGCTAATTGACCGATAAACGACTAGTTAGCGCAAAAGCGCCTGTCAGCTTACTTAGCTCATTTGAAAAGTGCTATTTTTAGTTAGCTGTTGTTAGCGCTAATATGAAATGTCATAAATGTCTAATCTATCCTAAACCCTAACCTAACATTACATATTTTTTCTTCTGGTTTTTGGTTGATGTTGGTGGGAGCTGCTTTATTTTTGAATTTTCGACATGAATATTCAAAATTATGGAAATACGGATGTCATTAAACATTAAATTCTTATTAACGTTTTGTTAGGTTATGTTTAGAGTTTAGAGAAAATCTTGAAATATAAATAGGTCATTCAACGGCTACAGTTAGCGCTTCCTGGCGCTTTTAGCGCTAGCGGGTTTACGCTAAGTCCCGTTGAACACAGCCATTATTACGGTTTCCTGCCGGGTTGGAACAAAGAAAAGCTCAATGTCTCTATTTATCTTACCAATTGAAAATTCAAAACATTTCTGTTCGTTGGTAGAAAGTTCTCTTATTTACTAACATTTAGTTCACATTCTTTGATGGGATCAATCAATAATCCAGTTTGGTAATATCACTTATGGCCATTTCCACCAACTAGTTATTTTCGGGAAGCCTTAAACGATAAGTATTCCCTAGACTGACAGTTTTCCATGAAGAAATGTCAGTTTAGGGAATACTTATCGAATGTAATACCACAAGAGGTTTCAGGATTACCGGATAATACTTTTACCTGTCACGAAACGCGTTACGCAGCAACACCACGACTCCGAAGGAGGAGTGGTGTTGCTGGTAACGCGTTGAGTGTCAGGTAAAAGTATTAGGTAATCCTGAAAACGCGAGTGGTATTCAAAAGGTTATACAACGAAGTGAACTTTAATTCTTTATTAATTAATAATTTCATGAATCAAAAATTAAATTTTTTTGTCAAAAAATGTCAAAACACCAGTTACCGTGCAAAAGGATTATCACTTATTAAGCCTCTCGTGTCATATGGGAAGGATTATCACTTATTAATTCTCTCGTGTTATATAGGAATTATGTACAGTGAGTTGTATAATCGTAATAGTTTGTGGAAACGGCCATTAGGGCCGGTTTATTCACCTTCTGATGAACTGTCAGGCATGAAATCTGACCGATAAAAATGCAATCTCTAATTCCATTGGTTGTTTATCTGAATATAAATAAACCGGGCCTAATAAATATAAAAATCGAACAAACAAAATACGAAATTTTCGAGTGTTTGCATAATTTTGTATTAGCAAATTTATTTATGATCTCCTCATATGACAATATCTGAGCTATAACATTTTCAATGGACAGCAGGGCTAGATCTGAAGGTTTCTCTTCTGCTAGAGTTGACCGCTAAGGTAAGTTTTAATTAACTTAAGCTTACTAAAGCTCTGTCCACCTTTCGGCACTGCAACAGGAATGGTAACAAAAATACGGAGAGCTGACCAGATATAAGGAAACTTATCTAGCCAATTATTTAATGCTAACGCCTGAAGGACTGCTTTCGGGTGACTGTTATCACTATCCGAAATATCGTGATCAAATGATCAGGTAAGGGTGCCACCACACCCACGATCCGTGCGCGTCTCAAAACCACGTCAGGACAGGTTATTCTCATACTAAGTAAGCACAAGCTTGCTCACAAGCAGAGAAGCAAAATATCGAAAAGCAGAGACAGAATTCAAAGCGAAAATATACTTTTCCCTTTTTTTTTATTACCAAGGAACGAGTCGAAGGCGCCCCCCGAGGTCTGGCGCCTGGAGCGCTCGCTCAGTTCGCCTTATGGTAGGGCCGGCTCTGACATTGACACATTTTCGCTCACAAATTTTTCAACTTCAATCCGATCCTGATGTAAAATCTGTTTTTTTTTTAAAGATAAAAGTCAAAATGACATTATGTTGGCAATACAATGTAAAATTGTCAATGCTTTCAAATTTTTTATGTAGAAAAGGCTTGTGTTGCCAACATAGTCACTAAATTTTTGACTTGGGGAATTATCTTTTAAAAAAAACAGACTTTGAAGGGGGGGCCGTTGAGGCCTTAATTCAAGCCTAATTAATTATATTTTAGTTCTAAAAAAAAATTATAGATGGCGCCAAGATGAAAGCATTTTTACAGTAGAGCATTTTAAATATTATAGCGATTTCAATTTGCAGAATCAGTGCAACTTTTTTCACTCAGTTCGCACTGATTGGCTAATGGGATTATGGAGGGATTTGTATTTCCATGCCTGGCCTGGTATGACTTCAAATTTTGTTCTACTCTGTAAAAGTGATGTTTTGTTGTAGAGCTTGTTTTTGAGGTATGTTTAGAGGTGGTAGGTACCTATGAGATTTTCAGTTAGCAATTGGCACATGAATGGGTTTAGAAATAGAGGAATACTCGGAGGAATAATAAAAAAATAGTCTTACCAGGAGTCTAACACAATTTCAGATACTGGTAGAAGATCCAAGAGCTAGTAAAAGAAATGCAAATCGCCAGATACCTAAACTGAATGCTCTACTGCATTGGTGGATATTATTATTGCACTAATATGCAAGAACACAAAGGATAAACTCTAATTTTAGCACTTTTCACCTTTTGTAAATAAATTTTAATAATTATTATTGAAACTTTTTATTTTTTCAAAGACATTTTGTCCTACAAAACACGATCCAATTTTTTTATGTATACCTAGGTACGTAAAATAGATACTTTATTTATTTTCAATGGAAATTAATGGCACAGCATGCTTTGTGCCTATTATTTTATAAACCAATAATAAAAAACAAAACAAATACACAAGGGGAGAAAGAGGTTCTGTTGTCAATAGGCTTTTTTGGAAACGCTGAACAACCTACATCAGCTGCTGCTCCAACGGTTCAGGGTTTTCGAAAACGCCTAATTATGACATCACGAATTGACTGGTGGCGCCATCTTCGAAAAAAAGCCTGAACCATATTTGCCAAAATATCTGTAATTTTATTCCAAAATCGGTTTTAGACTACAAAAAAAAACGGCACATCAGAATTTGCTGAAATTTGGCATAAACATTCTTTGATCGATTATCTAGAGAATAGTGCTCTTATTTTTTCAATTTTTACCGTGGATTTTTCTATTTTTGGGAAATAGTTAATTTTCACAATATAGGCCAAAAAAAAAATTCGAAATATGGAAAATCTAACTGCACTATTCTCTAGATAATCGATCAAGGAATGTTTATGCCAAATTTCAGCAAATTCTGATGTGCGTTTTTTTTTTGTAGTCTAAAACCGATTTCTGTATTTTGTATCGTGTGCATGGGAGCGATGTTGTACCCTTAAGGACAATTGAATCCTCTACAAATCTCTATTGGGTAGTTTCAACGCAGCTTCAATAGTTTCAAAGCTGTGAAGCTTGAAAGCAGGGCTGCAACTAGGGGGTGGCGAACTAGGCGCCCGCCCAGGGCGCCGAAGTCCTAGTTCAATCTATCCAGATTTTACAATCCAGAAAAATTCAACAGTTTTAAGCGTCATTTGTCGTAGCACAGAAATTTATTTTGCTTGTGTTACATCTCTCTTTGTCAACCATCAACAATACGAATATCGATAGTAATAAGATAGTAACCATATAAATTATGTCAAACACAGTGCGCGTGCAAAAGGCAAAAGCAAATTGCAATGTTTATGATAAATTCAAGTATTGATGACATAGCGCCCAACATTCGTTAGCCAGAAATTAGCTTCGAGTCGAGCTTTCACCCCAGTCA